AATCACAAAATACACTTGTACACTGACAATTCGGAATCTGTAAATGTGCAATGATCGATGGTGGGAAATATCTACAACTTATACATTCGGTTCGAGTATCAATTAAACCAAAACAAGAATCCATATTGCAAACCAACTCTCAACTGACCTGGAAAGTTTGTATCAGCATATGCACTTGTTTATACCATATTTAGGACCTCGTATAAATACTCGAGGAACTTAAATGTAATTATGTAATAAAGGAAGGGGCAAATATGTAATTAGAGGAGCCCTTATTCTATTAACGGACTCCTCACCCTCTCAACGCTCTCACTCTTAGAGCTCTCTCTCCCCCACTTCTCAGAGAAATACAATACAATCAATGTGGATGTAGCCCAAACCTTGGGATGAACCACGATACATCTTGTGTCATTTACATTACTTGCAGATTCACGGTCGGATTTACGTTGTTCCAAGACCTCCGGTTTTATGCATTAACATTTGGCGTCATCTGTGGGAAACGACATGAAAAGCTATGTTGGTTCTCTCTCAATTTTTCATCTCCGCCGTGAATCTGCAAAATCACAAAAAACTCAAAAACCTCTCTCTCTGGTCAAATTCTCTAAGCAGCCCAGACACGACACCTACAGAACCAAAATCTCTTTTTCTCTCTCTCCATTCTATACTCCTCGCGGATTGCATAATTTAATGGAAGCTTTCTCAAATATATTTCCATATTTTATTTCCTTCTCAGAAAGGCCGGATTTTTGTGTTTACGTGTGTGCCCATCTGTGAACTAGAAGCGGTCTCAGGCGAACCAAAAGCGGCAATCAGAGAGCTCTTACTTGCACCAGATTCACAGCCAGCAGCAAGCGGTTCGCCCATCTTCCTGTACAACTTAACGGACTCGGACCCTGCCCGACCCGGATTCAGCTCCCTTTTTTTTGCAGTTCGAAGACAGAGACAAGAACTCAACAGCAAACAAAGAGGCCTGACAAAGAGAGATTCAGTGGTAATCCACCCCGCTACCACAGCCGTCTCTTTCTTTCAAGATCTGCTGGATCTCGATTTTTGTTCCTTTCGCTGCTACCCACCCTGCTACCTCCCTCGCTGCTCCACGAAGCCAGACACCGACACCATCGACAACGAAAACCCACAAAAGTCGACCGTTGAACCCAATTTAGATTCAAACCCCACGAACCCATTAACACCCTCTTGGAAAGATGCAATCTTTTCTCCTATACCACCATCAATTTCTTGATTGATATTCGATCTGGGTTTGGAAGGTTCGGGGGACAGCGCAGGTTCGAGGGACATCTTCACCGTCGTTGTTTTACTTGGGCTTTGCGAGAAACACGATAGACGACGTGAATGGACTTCGGAGCCGCCATTGCCAACGATGTCTGCAGCTACAAATCCTAGTTCTCCCCCTCTTGTCCGTTAGCCTCCTATTCAATTTAGGTTCGGCAGACGAGCCCTCAACTCCCAAGAATGGAGACAAAGCTTCAAGTGGGTCAGCGGCGCTCAAGGCAATGATTGTGCTGCTGGGGATGATGGCTGTCATCGGAGAGTTAGCCTCTCTCTGAAACGGTAAAAACCCATCGAAACCCAGTATTGCGATTCCGACATCTTTCAACCCATTTGGAGTTTTTATGCAGGTTTCAATCTAAAACCCAGAAGAAACCCCATCAAGAGCTGCAAAAGAGAGATGGTGTACTTGCATAACCCTTGGTCGCCGGAGAAGCTGATTCTCTGCGAGCTAGTCGACGGCGGGTGCAGGTGGTGGAGTGCACGGAGTACAGTGGTAAACCCAGAAAATCACTCCGACCTCTAATCTAAGGAAAAAGAAGTTAAATGTGATACAAAAATGGATAAGAGAGGAAGCTGTAGGGTGTTTTTGAGACTTTTCTTCTGGATGGTATATCTTTATGTATGGAAAGAATGTTCTGCTGTTGGTTGGTGGCATTAGAGGATGATGCATTTTATTACCATTCATTTGATGAAACCTTTAGAAAAAAGGAAGTTGGTTTCACCTAAGGCTTTCCCTTATAAAATTATTTGTTTGTCGGGGAAAATTCTCTACTATTCCAAGGTTAAAATTGAATAGGTGCATCCTTAGTGGTTCTTTTGCATTTCTTAGCATAAATACTGGTGGCACTAGTAATCAATAAAGATATTGAGAGTGAATAATTTATTCTTTAGAAGTTATGCATCTTTGACTTGCTATTGAGTTGCCCTGTTTAACTTTCAATTATATAATCACCATGTTTTTTGTTGATGTTGTAAAGTCGATATCTTATCTTACTCTCGTGTATGACATGACCAGGTATGCAACTGCAAGTGCAAGGTCTGATGGTCTTCTTCTCCTTTGTGGAGGGAGGGATGCAAATAGTGTGGTGAGTCAAATAATGTAATTTTTTTAGTGGTTTGTTTTTATGGATGCATGATTGTGACAGTATGGCGCAAAACCAAGCACAGTGGTGTTCTAGTATTCATTCAGCTGACCCCACTTAGCGGGATAAGGCTTGGTGGTGGGTGGTTTTATGAATGTGACAATAGCATTTATGGTGATTTTAGTTTATTTTTATATTGATTGCTGGATGGCTCCAGATTGTATTTGCCCTTTGTCAAGCACATTCTGCAATGAACTGTGGAACAGTTACCCCTTCACTTCTATATCTAATATTTCTGAGAAATATGGTTTTGGTATATGTTAGAAAACTACTTAACTGAAAACAAAAGTACCCATAGCTTATTTGTGACAATAGCTTGTGGGGAGGACAGGGAGATGGGGTTACAGGGAGATGGGGTTATGAAGTTTGGGGCACATATTACTTGCTTCTATTTGTCTTTACAGTTTGTTTACGTAGCTTGTGTCTGAATGTTGTTGACTCCCCACCCTCTTCAAATTTTGCATAGCACATTAGTAACAGCTCTGTAATGATTGGTCGAATAAAAAAAAAGCAGCTTTTGTTATGGAATTCTGGGTTAGGTTTTCTTTTGGTTCTTCTGTTTGCAGCCATTGGCAAGTGCATATGGTCTTGCCAAACATAGGGATGGCCGTTGGGAATGGGCAATTGCTCCTGGTGTCTCTCCTTCTTCAAGATATCAACATGCAGCAGTGAGTTTTTGAATCCATTATGTTTTAATTTCTCTTTTACTTATTTGAATTTATTTTCTGAAAACTAGCATGTGTTATGATACTAGGTCTTTGTTAATGCACGTCTGCATGTTTCTGGAGGGGCCCTTGGTGGTGGCCGCATGGTTGAAGATTCATCAAGTGTTGCAGGTATTTATTTAGGTTTTTACAAGCATTGTGTGGAATGTACTTTCGCTCCCTCCCGCAATTTTTGGCATGGATGATCCTTGAAAGAAAATCTAGGAACTTGATGGTTCCAACCTTGAGTCACAGACCTAGAAACATGATGTCCATAAGTTTTCTCAAGTGAGCCTTGGCAGGTCTTGTGGGTTTTTTACCCTAGAATGGATAGGCATTTACTAAATTATTGTGACTTAATAACATGAAATCAAAATTTAGAGTAAAGATTACATGTGAGTGTGCAAACATATTCCTGTACTTTATAAAGTAAGATATATGGTTCAAATAATTTTTTTCTCAGAATTTAATTTAATTTCTGGACTCATCATTTAACTGGTTCTTCTTTTAAATACAATGAGAAATATGCTTTTGTATGATGTGATGGAGGTAAGCTGGTTGGATTTTTTTAATCTATCGGGGTTGGTGAAAGTTTACTGTTAGGTCATGTATACCGGGGATGCTTTTTGAGAGTTGTTGAATGGTTAACTTCTTCCAGTAGTTTCTGGTAGATGTATGTTAGTTTTTCTTCCTCTAGGATAACTACATTGTGCCTGATTCTTCTTGTATTATGCTTGAGCAGATGATGAGATCTTATGAACGTTTTTTGTATGTCTGAAGCAATTATTCAAATGAGAATTCTGTGGCTATTATTCCAGTTCTTAAAATAATTGATCCTCACCACATCATCGTGTAAAATTTGGGCAATTAACTGTGCTTCTTTGAGAAACAGATAAATTGGTAGCTTAAGTTTTGTTGTTATTTGTTGGTGTTAAACTATGTTTCCAAAAGGTTCTTCACCATAAGTGTTCTTACAAGTTTTTATGTTTCTTATGTGCAGTGTTGGATACTGCAGCAGGAGTTTGGTGTGATACAAAATCTGTGGTTACTAGTCCAAGGACAGGTAGATACAGTGCTGATGCAGCCGGTGGAGATGCTGCAGTTGAGCTGACAAGGCGTTGCAGACATGCAGCTGCAGCGGTTGGTGACTTGATCTTTATATATGGTGGTCTACGTGGAGGTAAGAAGTGAATGTATTATTTCAACAGTCACTCTGCAGTTGCTTCCTGTTTCAGTAATTCTAGGAAGTGTTTTCATTGAGCAGGTTATTGTAATTAATGCATTCACTTTCTGTTGATGGAGTGTAGGTTGCAACTCTCAAGCACTAAAATATTTTGCATCATGAATGGACATGCTTAGAGAATAATAGACATTTTGTGTTTCTTGAGGTTGACATTCAGTACATGGTTGTTTTTTCCGATACATTATGTGATTATTTCAAAGTTGAGGTTTCAATGATTGGCTCATTAATTAATTTAGTTTCAAAATCTTCATTTACGGGTTATATTTATCTTTTATTGGATGAGTAAAGTAGGATAAAACAGCAGGCAAGGATGCAGGTGCAGCAATTTTGTAATATATGGAGGACTTTAGGAGCTGTCATTTTGATGGTTTCTGAAAGCTTTTATATTATGAATTCTGGAGTTCCCTTACAATTTTACCTTTCTGAGCTAATAAAATCTCGCACTTTATAATTTCAAACATACTAATTGCTTTATTCTTTTATGCTATAGGAGTGTTGCTTGATGACCTACTTGTCGCGGAAGATTTGGCTGCTGCTGAAACAACAACAGCAGCTTCGCATGCTGCAGCGGCAGCTGCTCAATCTGTACAAGGTCGTTTACCTGGAAGGTATGAATTCATTGATGACAGAGAAAGACAGTTGACTGAAGCAGCTCCTGATGGTGCTATTGTGCTGGGAAATCCAGTTGCACCCCCAGTAAATGGTGACATGTATACTGATATAAGTACTGAAAATGCTTTGCTCCAGGGAACCCGGTAAGCTAGTTGTATGCACATTTTGATTGCAGGCTGTGAAGTCACTGAGTTGTACTTTTTATTGTTAAAAGGGATACTGAATTTTGATTGTTGTTTAGGAGATTGAGCAAAGGTGTAGAGTATTTAGTTGAAGCATCAGCAGCTGAAGCTGAGGCAATCAGTGCCACTTTGGCTGCTGCCAAGGCACGACAAGTTAATGGAGAAGTTGAACTCCCTGATAGAGATCGTGGTTCAGAGGCTACCCCCAGTGGGAAGCAGATATCTACCTTGATCAAGCCTGATTCTGCTGGGTCAAATAATATTCCATCAGCTGGAGTGCGACTGCATCACAGAGCTGTCAGTATTGAATTTTATGAGGCAACTCTAAACCTTTGTTGATATGTCCTTAATGTTTCTTACATGCTTTGCCAGGTCGTTGTAGCTGCAGAGACTGGTGGAGCTTTAGGTGGCATGGTGAGGCAACTTTCAATTGATCAATTTGAAAATGAAGGCAGGCGGGTTAGTTATGGGACTCCAGAGAGTGCAACTGCAGCAAGGAAATTGTTAGATCGACAGATGTCCATAAATAGCGTTCCCAAAAAGGTAGAAGACATTATGTGACAGTCTTGCCTACCTAAAATTGCCATATTTTCATCTGTACATCTTATAAAATCAAATGTCCTTTTGCTCAACTATTGATGGGTAAATTTTGCTAACTTCTTCCTTGTCCACTTGATTAATGCTATTTAGATGCTAGAAAATAGAAAGATAAAAACATAAAAGAACAAGTGTCTGACTGGTATCCTAAGTTGTATTCAATAGTGTGAATGCATTTTTGCGCTTGTCATCATTCTGGAAATGTAAGGTAGATGCATCTATGAGTTGGAATATCAAGCACGATACCGCAACCAACTACAGACTATTGGAGGCTACTTTAAAGTCATGTCCTTGCTCTCACATCTAAGTTTATCCGTATTATCCTGTGCCTGGTCTTTCACTTATGATAGATTAATAGGCTTATACATCCTCATCCTGACATAGTTGAATCATGAATCTTGTATCCAATTTCTTATCTTGTGCCATGGATACTTATTTTACCCATGCGCTGACTCCAACCCTTTGGTGTAGATAACCCAACACTTGGTATTACGAATGTCATCCTGCATATGTAACGTTTACATATAAAGTTTATTGTGTTTCATAATCAATAATTTTCCTCTTTTCTTTTCAGGTAGTGGCACATCTTTTAAAGCCTCGTGGGTGGAAGCCTCCGGTTCGCAGGCAATTTTTCTTAGATTGTAATGAAATAGCAGATCTTTGTGACAGCGCTGAGCGAATATTCTCTGGTGAACCAAGCGTCTTACAGCTTAGGGCGCCTATCAAGATATTTGGTGATTTACATGGGCAATTTGGTGACCTCATGCGCCTTTTTGACGAGTATGGTTCACCTTCAACGGCTGGAGATATCGCGTAAGTGGCTTTATTAATGCAACACTAAGCAACTAGGTTCATATGGTTTGATATTGAAATATTGAATTACGTATGCTAAGGGGCCCATCTGTGCACCCCATGATATTACGTTGATTGTTATATCTTAATGGTTTAACCATATAGTTTACCGTATTGTTTTGTGGAGAATTATTAAAGCCCAATATTTTACCTAATGAATGCTTCTTGCATTTGGGTTCGCGAAATAGAATCCGTACACATACTTGTGTATAAAGATTATGAGATTGTAGGAATATGGGATTCCTGCTATTTCTTTATATACAACCAACCTTAGTACTTCAGAGCTAAACATTACAGAAAACATCTTTTTTGTGTTCTTTTGGTTTCCTAGCACAACTCAGAATTGTCTACACTAGAATGTCCGAGACTAGAAAAAGTTTATGCAAGGACTAATCCTAACACACTTGAATACGGAGAATTCCTAAGATGACAGCATGGCAACAAATAAGACATGCATAAATTTCCAGTACAGTCTTAGTGTGAATTTCTTTTTTTGGCTTTTAGAAGGAAGGAACATTAATTAAATGAAGTCTGACTTTTGCATTTGTAATACAAGGTGGATTCTATCGGTGATTATGTAAATTGTTTCATGCTCCATCTTGTATATGCTTGGTTTATTTATTTTGGTTACATTTTGTTGTAAGTTTTTCCCGTTCAGTATTCACGTAAAATTAAGGTTGTGACCTTTGTATATCTTGTATAATATACTTATAAATATTTCATTTTATTACTATTTCTTTGCCTAAATAATTCAACTCATTCTTAGTGTGTTTTTATTTTTTTATTTTTTGGAAACTAGTGTGTTATCCTTTTGACAAGTCCACAATACAAAACTTTATGTTTCTTACATCTATGCTGATTTTATATGAACAAAAATCAGATATATCGACTATCTCTTCTTAGGGGATTATGTTGACCGGGGTCAACATAGCTTGGAAACGATTACTCTTCTGCTTGCTTTGAAGGTACATTTGGCTGTGCTTTTATTCTGTTTCAGTTGTCTTCTCACTCGATGCTTATAGCTCTCAGTGATTGCTGTATGAGTATTTCTATGATAATGCAATGTTCTTGAAAAAAATGTCAATATTGCAGGTTGAGTATCCCCATAATGTACATTTAATCCGTGGAAACCATGAAGCTGCAGATATAAATGCTCTATTTGGCTTTCGGATTGAATGCATTGAGCGAATGGTACTGTATTATAACCATATGTCATATCTGTATCTTTTATTTGTAATCTCTGGTGGTCACTGACTGAATGACTTGCTGAGCAGGGTGAGAGAGATGGAATTTGGGCATGGCATCGAATAAACCGTTTGTTTAATTGGCTTCCACTGGCAGCTCTTATTGAAAAGAAAATCATCTGTATGCATGGCGGTATTGGTCGGTCTATAAATCATGTTGAGCAGATTGAGAATCTCCAGCGTCCTATTACAATGGAAGCTGGCTCCATTGTGCTTATGGATTTGTTATGGTCAGTGCATGTGTATATTGGTACATTTTATAATTATTTTTATTTTAATTGGTCAATGACGCCATATGGTTCTCTCTAGGTCTGACCCAACAGAAAATGACAGTGTGGAAGGTTTACGACCAAATGCTAGAGGTCCTGGGCTGGTTACATTTGGGGTAAGTAATTTTTAATTGTTTTCTTCCTTTATTTCACATTGCCTATAATGTTATAGAGATCAGTAGGTATCTAAATTAGTACATTTGTCATCAAGAAGTCTGGATGTGTCACCAATAATGGGTACATTCGCTGACAAAACATGCTGGACATGTTATTGATGCATTTTCGTCAATATCGATGAATATCCGTCCTTTAATATAGAATGGACGTCCTGCAAAAAGATTACTAACTGACATTTTTTAGGAAATTCTTTTGTTAATACTGTATAGTGCTATCTTTAAGCAAAGTTAAGAGTCCAAATGGGATGTGGAATATACATGGATGCAATTAAGATGATTTACCAACAAAGTTGCATTTGTAGCATGTTAAGGGCCGCAGTCTGATAAAACCGGTTCCAAACACTGAGAGTGGGAAATATTTTATTCCATTTGTTTCTAAAAGTTTCCATTCCAAGGTGTATGGTACTCTACAATTTCATGGCACAAAACAAACAGAACCTTGAAGCAATGGAATTGGTATTTTCTATATACTTGTCTTGGAAATGGTTCAATGTGACGGTCTGCATTGAGCATGGAGTTGAATATTAATTGTTCTGTAATTCATCTTGCTTGATGTCCACTGAGGCTTGTCCGGTTTATGTTACTTCCACGAGTTTTTATGTTGTAAAGTATCGGGATCGTAAAATGGTACAACTTTAATTGGTATTTTTTTTTAATATGTTTGTGTTGTATGCCATCTAAAGTGTTTTGACATTGCAGCCTGATCGTGTCATGGAATTCTGCAATAACAATGATCTTCAGTTGATTGTGCGTGCACATGAATGTGTAATGGATGGATTTGAGCGTTTTGCCCAGGGGCATCTGATTACACTTTTCTCTGCTACCAATTATTGTGGTATGTACTTGTCCCCTTTTCTATTTATGGAGCTTTGAGTGCTTCAATAGACATCTCAGGTTTGGCCCTTACCACTGTCAGCCAAACATCTCATGTTTACTCTTATACTCTCAACAGGTACGGCCAATAATGCCGGGGCAATCCTAGTCTTGGGTAGGGATCTTGTTGTGGTTCCGAAACTCATTCATCCTTTACCACCAGCAATTTCATCACCAGAAACTTCACCGGAACGCCATATTGAAGATACATGGATGCAGGTACTGATGTTTATTTCTCACTTCATGTTTAAATTTATGGTTATAACTTGTAACTCAAATGGGAGATGTATGTATGTGCATACTCTTACTGGAGAGATTTTGCTACCCCTTCCCCATCGGGATGTGTTGTCATTGTTTTGATAATAATCTTTATTTGAATTGGCTTGTTATGAAACCAGGAGTTGAATGCAAACAGACCTCCAACACCAACTAGAGGCCGTCCCCAAGGAGCTAATGATCGGGGTTCCCTTGCTTGGATATAGTTGATTATTCTGAATTGCTTCGTCATATTCATTCTGGCCTCGTTCTTCCTGATGGGATTTCTAGTGCTGTATAGAGCATGATGTCAAATACAAGAAGTTCCCCCGTTCTTCCACATGGGGTTTCCCATGGTGTATAGAGCACGATGCCATATACAAGAAGTTCCAAAACTTGTGATCTATTTTCCAGGTAACAAGTTTGAAGGCATTCTGAAATTTTGGTTTACTTTACACAATTGGTAGGCCATGAGATGATGAGAAGACACAAAGTCGAAGAAGTAGGTTGTGGTTGGCGGGTAGGTTTCACTTTGTATGATGTGCTAAAATGTTGGAGTTTGGGTCAACCCGCCCTTTGTAAATTGAGCTACAGGCAGGTAGAAGTCAGTATTCGTTCTTCCCGTGGATTGGTAGTGCCGAGTATTCTTCTGATTAGTTGATATATTGTTTATTCCTCGTTTTAGGCATATTAATTTCCCCTTGAAGAGGACAGGGGGTCAATTTGTGGTGGTGAGATATATAAAATTTTTAGAATCTTTGTGAGCGTCCGTCCGTCGGTCCGTGATTGTATCATAGAGGTATTGCTTTGTGTAATATTTCATCTTTGTTTTGTACCATGTAACATTGTGTGAAGATAAGTAACCGTTTTTTGATCCGACACATCCGTTTATTAAGTTTTCGTCGTAGAATGTTGTGCATCTTTATGCTGAAAGGAACTAAACCTCTTGCTCTTGGATGTTGTATCTTTGTGGTTTATTTTCCCGACGATCACCAAGTGCAGTCGCATGAATTCTAGAATACCATTATGTTAGGTTTTGCATCAAGTCTTCTATTAGTTTCAAGTACTCCATATCTTTTCTTATAGTTTCTTTACAATTCTTAGGTTTTCCCCTTGCATCTTGTGCCTTGAGTCTCCATCTCGTAATAGCATCTGTAGGTCTTCGGTTCACGTGTTCAAACTAGTTTAACCAAATTTCTCTCATCTTATCTTCAATTAAGGCAACTTCTACTTTACCTCAGATATTCTTTATCCTTTTTTGTGTGCCTACACATCCAATGAAGCATTCTCATCTCTCATACACATTTTTTGCATGTGTTTGCTTTTTGACGACCCAACATTTTGTGCCATAAAGAATTGCTGGTCTTATTGTTGTTCTATAAAATTTTCTCTTAGAGTTTTAGTGGCATATGACGATCGCATGATACACTTGATACTCTCCCAGTGTTCTCAACGGTTATCTACCGAAATTGTTCACTCTTCAACAACTATCTGCCAAAAGCATATAATGTTTTATTGAGCAACTATCGAAGTTGTGCATACTTCTCAGTAGAGTCCAACCTAAGAGGACATAATAAATGAATAATGCAATTTTCTGCAGGTTTGCACCGATATATTTCACCTCTTCAGTAGAGTAGAGAACTAACGAAATATTGACAACTTTTCGATAGTCTTACCAAAAAAATTATCGGAATTTAGGGTTACACAAACAGTAAGACGTGGTTCAAACCAAGGAAGAAAATATCGGTAATATCGGAAATATCGGTAGTCCGAAAACACGGAAATATCGATGGAAATATCGGGATAATATCGATATCGATAAAAATTACATGGAAACCACGGAAATTGTAAGAAAAACTTGAAAATTTTTATTAAAACTTTGCAGGATGTTTATTTAGTCAATTATCTATTAGTTTATCACAAAAAATTGGAAGGAAATGCATTGCATGATGGATTTAACATTATCAAGTTGATTATATAGCGAACTGACAAATATTGTGAGTGTAGAAAATATGTAGTAATTAATGAAAGAAGTCTAAACACACCATAATCATTTATATATAATGAATTAGTACAATATTTTACACTTTATACATTGCATTTTTTATTCTTCTCTGACAGAATTTGGTCTTCGCGTGGAAAAGAAGATAAAGTAAGCAGATTTTTTGGTTCTTCTCTGACAGAAGATTTGGTTCTTCTTAGCAAAGTCACTTCCAAATCTTTCATACAAAACCGTGTGCCACAAACACACACCCTTAAAGTTTTTTTCTTACCATACACACACACACACACATAACCATACACACACACACACACACACACACACACACACACAAAACCATGGTTTCATACAAAACCGTGTGCCACACACACACACACCCTCAATGTTTTTTTTTTCTCTCGGATAACACACACACACACACACACACGCACACGCACACACAATCTCTCGATCCTTCTCCTTCATTCCACACACACACGCACACACACCCTCCCTCTCCTTGTTTCTTCTCCAGTTCTCCCCCCCATCTCTTTTCTACATCTCTCCTTCCCAGATGAGACAGACACACACACACCCCACTTCCCCGTGTTTCCCCCTTCCCCAATCCCTCGAACCTTCTCCCTCATTCCTCTCCTTGTTTCTTCTCCCCCCATTTCTGCAACTCTCCTTCCCGGAGCACAGCCACACCACACCCACACGAGGCGGAGGATCCATCAAACCCGAGCGGGTTTTGGGATCCGGAGAGAAGGGATTGCAGATTTTGATGGGTCTGAGCGCGGATTGCAGAGAGAGGCGCAGATCTTGGCAGCTGTGACGACGGAGCCTCGGCTGCAGTTTTCCGACGACGGAGCCTCGGCGATTTTGTCGATAATATCGAAAATATCGCAATATTATCGATATTATCGATATTATCACGAAAACCATTTGGATAGTTATAAAAATATCGGTCCCTTTAAAAACCGATAATATCGGCGATATATCGGCGATATTATCGACATTTTGTTCCTTGGTTCAAACTAATGCAACATGAAGGGAAAAAAAAAATTAAATCAAAAATCATGTGGAGCCACCAAACACTTGATTTCATGTTACATTCTTCACAATAAACATTTTTTTCATTAGTATGTTTGTCTCGTTAGTCATTAAGACAAGAAGCAATAACACTATCGTAAATAAGTAAAATTTAAAAAAAAAAACTTATTGTTGTGGCATAATTTACTAAACAATTATGGAGGCCATAGAGATAGAAAAGTGCGGCAATAGAGAAGAAGAAGAGAGAGATGTGTAATTGTGGGTGTGTTATTTCACCTCATTATGCCTTTATTTATAGTAGTAGGGAAGGTTAGTTCCTTACCCTTTAGGATTACAACATTTAATATGTAATCTTCTCCTAATAGGAATATGAGAGATATTCCAAGATATACTAGGATTTACACAATCACATTCCTAATCTAATAGGACTGCAACATCCCCCTTGAGTGTGTAAATACTCAAGTAAATGGTGCATAGGTCTTCAGTGATGAAGCAAGTGTAGTTGATGAAGTTGTCGGCATAATGAGCAAATGCAAGTCTCAAATCAACCGAAGAATGCATAAAAAAGTAAAACTCACAAAACCTTGCTATGGTAAAACCCAAGGTGGGAGAAAAACCCATAGTCTAAGAAGAAAAGTGAGAAGTTGCATTAAGTCAAAACTATACGCCTTTTGGACGCAAGTAGAAGAGCTCACAAGGGTATGATCATCCCATGATGGGTGCCTCGTTAAAACCTAGTTAGGTAGCAAAAGCCTAGAGGGAAAAATGCTCCTAATGAAAAAGAGTACATTAAGTTCAAGTGAGTATACTTCTGGATACTCCCTCTGAGTTTGACATAACTTCCAAATGAGAACTACAAGCATTGCATATGATAGTTAGGCATACCAATTCCTCGGATAAGCTTATGGAAGGTTGACTTCGGCAATGATGTCGTGTAGAGGTTGGCAAGGTTGTCTGGCATCGGCTTGCATGACTTCAATCTCTTGATGTTTTGCTGATGTAGATGTAGACGCAATATGTCTTGGTGTTGACTTCGTTGATGTATCATGACTTGGTCGAGTTAATACATGCAGTATAGTCCTCATGGATCGTCGTTAGGACTTAACGATGGATGAAAACATCAAGTACTTCAATATGCTCAACAAGAACTCCTAACCATGTCTCACTTGTGGCGTAGTGAAGTGAGGTGAGTCTTGGAATGATTCAAAGATTTCGTAACTAAGGTCATATCGTGGACCTCCAAGATATTGCGATATCCTTAACAATAAAGACATAACCATTTGGGGATTTTGCCTTGTGAGGGTTTGATAAGTAACATACGTCAGGATAACAAGCAAGGCAAGCATCATTTCAAGGATCAAGGGGGTTGGATCCGCTCGAGATGCGTTGAGATTTGCCCTTGTAGTACCTTCAAGGTACGTCTTTAATACCAATTCAATGGTTGCGTGTAGGTGCGGTGCTGCATCTTTACTAAGATCAACAGTGAAAAAGATGTCATGTCTAAATACAATGAACTAAGTACAACGAAGTGCAAAGTTGAACTTAAATATGGAATTTCGGATTCCATAACCTCTTCAAGGGTCTCATTTGCATATAACGTATGGACGATCAAAGGTATACTCAAAAGTAACACATTCAAGGTGTAGTTCGACTAGTAGACCAAAATGTTATTAGAACAATGCTTTGAACTTTAGGTCAATGCATAAACGAGTTTTCCCAAGGTCCTTCATCTCAAATTTCATCTTCAGGTGCAAGGCAGTTTTCTCAAGCTCTTCCGGAGTTTTAGCGAGATTCATGTTAACGACATAAACTGTAACTCTAGCAATTCAAAATAAAACTTCATAGTTTAACATGCAAGGGCATAATTCATCCCTGACCGATCAAATAATCACTTAAATAGGTATACCATATTAGTCGGATTGTAAGTGAACGCCTTAAACAAGTTAAGAGGGTGTTCCGTGATTTTGGAACTATTTGAACCACTCCATGTAATTCTTCGGAAACTTACATGTAAATCTCCATATCTATATCCCCATGGAGAAAACACTAACCACATTTCATAATGCTGCTATCAATCACAGGACGTTTGAGAGAAACCTTGCGTCGTAAGGCGTACATCATATTGCACTATTTCATTCATCTCATAATGCTTCCTTTCCCACTTGGAACACAACAGGGTTACCTTGGGCAGTATAGGAACGACAGGTCTAATACACACTTTGGTAATGAATTTGACCTGGATTGTAATTTCGGTTGTCCAATCAATTATACGTTGTCACTTAATCAAAGGAACAGGGTTCGATATCGTCGCTTTTCATTTATGTCGGTAGCTACCATATAAGTGAAAACATCATCGATGGTAATCTCATTTCAATTCCATTTTCTCATATAAACTAGTATACTGGACCAAGAACTTCAAGTCTTGGGAGTAATCCGGATTAATCTCATGAGATGGAAATGATTTGAGACATCGATCGAGTTTAGATTCATTATTGTGCCATGTCTTCCTCTTCTAGGGAAGTGAATCCTACAAACCGAGTGATCTGTTGTGCTCCAAGCCAAGACAGATTGATTGGCTATCCGTCGGTGTACTAGACCGTCCAACAGGGGCGTCCAAATCGTCCAACAAGGCCGGCACACCCTCTATGGATGTTGACTCGACGTCTGTTAAGTACGTCTATCCTTACAGGTATGTTTGCAGTTGGTATATGATCTCGTCACTTTAGCTAGATCAGAGGAATGCATCTGGGGGAACATTCTGAAAGCTAGAATTTATCGCACTTGCTTATCACACTTGTGCAGTATGGGGATCGAGATGAGACAGTGGGCAACATCTACGCAAATTCCCA